AACCCGTGGGGATTACAATTGAGATGAAAAAAAAATGTGAAAAATGATGTAAAAATAAACTTTTTAATAATAAAAAAAAAAAACTACAGACGTTTTCAAATTTACTATTTTCTAGGAACTCTGGATGCTTGGTGTACATTATCTTAGTATTTTATTTTATTTGTTAGTCTTTGCTTCCTGTACAAGAGCTCTGGTTTGTCATTCATCACATAGATAGAGAATTAGCATGATTTCTTCTGAAAAATCTAGCACAAACAATACTAATTTCACCTGAAATAGTAAGGCAATATTTTCAATTTTATTTATTGAAATCAAGGAAATCTTTCATTGGTTATGTCTTTTTTTTAATGGAAAATGTGATGGATTTAATCAGATGAATCTTAATTTAAAACAAATTCTAATAAAAACAAATAACAGACAAAACTATAACTTGGCAAAGGGAAGTGCTACATTTTTCAATCTGTTTTGAAATAAAATCATGGGCTGTGGTGAGGGACATAAGAGATTTACAAGAGATCCAAAGGGATTCTTGATTCATCAATTTTAAGAAGTGCTGGGTTTGTGAGTTTTAAACTACATTCTTAATAAATAAATTACCAGACTCCATCATAATTATGAATCTTACAAAGTGAGATTTATAATAGAGCATTTCTTTGATTATATCTAAAGAATTATCAAAAATCAAGATATTAAGAAACAAAAGAATCAAGATCTGTACTTAGGGAATCATGAGAGGAAGCAGAATCCTAGATTCCATATCATTTAGTTGCTCAGTCATCAGTGGTTTATAAGACTTGAAAAAAAATTATTTGAGTGGGACCCACGAAGTCCCCTCCCCATACCCGAGAGGCAGGCGGACCACGGTGGCCTTGGAGGCGCAGGTGTGAATCTTCAGGATGGGGTCACGAGACTTCACAGACTTCCAAGAAACTGTTTCAGCTGTGAGGAGTCCAGGCTCTACAGGAGGACTGTCTTTTGTTATAGCTTTAGAGAAGGTGAGAAATATGCATATTTAATTGTGAGAGCATATATGGCCTTCGCTGGTATTGCCTTTAATCTAGTAACAATATTAATGAGTTATACCAGTAATGATGATAGTGAGAATGCACACCAGGAACTTGAAACATTCTAATCACTTTCATGACAGGTTAAAAATTAATCTGGGGAGGCCCTCCCTGGTGGCGCAGCAGGTTGAAGCACAGCACTGAGAAGCTAAAGCCACTTCCGCATGAGTTCCATCCCTGCCTGCCCCGGAAGTGACCACATGGCGTGGCAGACCTCTCCTGACCCGCCTGCAGCTCCCCTCAGCAGTGTACTTCATAGATCTGCCTGTTCTGCTCCCCACTCTGTCTCTGGTGAAGCCTCTCACCGCCCCTGAGCCTCTAGCCTGTACCCCAGTTCTTTATGTACAAATAAAATAAATCTTTAAAAAAATTTAATCTGGGGGAATCATGCTTAGAAATAAATGCAAGTGGTACCCAGATCTTCCTCCCTGTCCTTCTCATAATCTTCTCTGCAAGTAAGAAACCAGGAACAGGGAAGTTAGGAGGAGGACAGAGAGAGTGTCTCACTGTACTTAGCACACCATTACTTCCATTATATGGGATAGTTATCACAACATCCCTCTACATGAAATTTTAAAGGAGGAAACAAACAAAAAACACCTTATCTGGGAAAACAAGGGATTTTTGATATGGCAAAGCCAGGTCCACAGAGCCCATTGTTTTATCTAAGTTTTTACTTTGGGCTCTAGGACTTTCACGGTGTGTAGAAATAACAAACCATTAGCAAACTTTAATTTTAATAGTTAATGTTTATTTTTTTTTAAGATTTTGTTTGTTTGTTTATGCATACAGAAATGGCTTACAAGCCAGAGGTGCAGGGGCGGTGAGAGGCTTCACCAGAGATAGAGTGGGGAGCAGAACAGGCAGATCCATGAAATACACTGTTGAGGGAGCAGTGGGCAGGTCAGGAGAGGTCTGCAGCGCCTGGTGAATCACCTCCAGGGTCAGGGATCGAACTCACACTGAAGCGGCTGCGGCCAGTTTGCAGTGCTGTGTCCTCACCCATTGCACCACCAGGGAGGGCCACAAATGTTTGTCTTAAAATGAACAAACTATAACAACTATTCTTCATCAGTAGCTGAACACCAAGTACTTTTTACTTCAAGCTTAGGAGAGAAGACCACACGTAACCAGAAGCCACTCCACCTACAAGAATATAAATGTCTGACCCCACCAAAAAGTTTAGGGACACTTGGTTAGGAGACTGGTTAGCAGACCCACTAAACTTACTGAAGTTTACCCAACAAGTATGTATTTCTCACCTTGATAAACCAGACAGAGCTCAAAACACTGTGTTTTTTTGTTTGTTTGTTGTTTTGTATCTTGATGAAAACTCAAAGGTGGGAAGACATAAGTATTCAGTAAATATTTATCAAACATCTAGAGTGCCAGATTATGTGTTAGAGAAAAACAATTTTAACCAAACAGGCCAAAGAACTGAAGAATGGTGTGTTGTGCCCTGTGATGTGTGCAAAGGGCTGGACTCAAGGAAGAGCAAGGCCAACCCACCCGTGAGGACAGGCAGGAAGGCTGACTAACACTGGCAGAGTTTGCTATGAACAGACGAGGTGGGTCATTTCTGATTTCTTCGATCTCTTCAATGAAAACAGCCACAAGGTCACCACTTAGGGAAAGAGTGAGGAAGGGAGTAAGCATTAGTGAAGAGAAAGCAGTGGGGAGGGTAGACGAGAGATTTGAATGTCTGAAATTTTCATCCCTGAGAAAGAACGGGAGAATGAATGAACTAAAGAAATGTTGGAATTGCCTTGGAGAGCTTTTTGAGATTTGTGATCTCTGATGTAAAACAGAGTAGCTAGTACGATTTTTTTCCTTCCCTAGTCAAAGCTGCTATGATGCAGTGCCAGGTTAAGCACAGAGAAAAGGTCAACCACTATTAGGATTCTGTTAGGAAAGTAAGCTGAGAGGGCATGAAAAGGTTTATGTTGAGGGTAGATGTTGAGGGTAAAATTCCATCGCGGACCATGGGAACTATGTTGGGAATGAGGAAACCAAAGACACAAGTGAAGAATACAGAACAGGGTCGAGCTTATGGATGGTGGAATCCAAGGAGTCAAGACACTGTTAAGTTGGTGGCAGAGAGAGTGACGGGGGTGTCAGGAGCTGGTGGGCAGAGAACTTGAGAATGAGATCGCTGAGATGGTGCAGCTACAGATCCAGTAAATTCTAAAGTGTAAGCATGAAATAGGCGGCGAAGTGAGGTAAAAGAAAACATCTTCCGAGTTATGAAATCAAGAGAAGAAAGCATTCGTGTTCTCACTACATTTGGAAACTATTTAAAATGATGATGTATAAGTGGAAAGAAAAACAGAGTGGCCAGGGGAGCTGAGGAGGTGACTAGATGACCAGACCTACAGGTGGCAAGAGTGAGCATCAACCTTGATGTCTGAAGAGAACGAAGATCGTAGGAGATGGTGTGAGTGTGATTCAGAGAGGCCACAGAGGGAGTAATTTCCTTCATCCAGAGCCTGAATTCCTATTATTGCACCCCCTCCACCCCTGCACTGAAAGTAATCTGGGCATCAACACTGAAATTTCCTCTTACCTCCAGATTCTCCCCAGCGCACCAAGGCCGAATAGCAAACCAGGAGCTCAATGGGTTTTAGACTGTCCACAAATAAATAGTAGGACACACGCTCATCCGTGAACTGGAAGAAACCAGACCAGTCAGTGAATTTAATGTTAGTCTAATAAGGTGGTTTCCTACTGCTACTACTAATGCAATGGTTAACACAGAGGACTCTGTGTTGTGCTGTGTTATAACTGCATTCACAGTAAGAACTTGATGGCATTTAATGACAGAAGAAAATTACACCAGGTGAATGTTAGGAACAGTGTTCAAGCAGGACTTCAGTGAGAGTGGGCACCATTTTAGAGAGTGAAAGCTTCTCTCCATAAACAAAGGAAAGAAATATGCTTGTTCTAGAAATGATGATGAGGGGTGAGGGGGTGACTACCACAGCTGAGCAGAGGACTCAGAGAAGGGCTCCGGGTAAGTAGTGAGGCCACAGAGAAACTCTGGCAGAGAGTGGAAATGAGAATCTAGTGTATTTCTACAGGGTGATATGTGACATGGACCCTCTATTTCTTCATCGATATGTGACATGGACCCTCTATTTCTTCATCGATAAGATCTTTGGAAATCCACCCACAGCCATGCCAGTACACGATGCTGAAATTTAATTTTGGGATGCAAGAAATTACTGAGTAAAACCAGAACTGAGGGAGCTATATATGTATCGCCAACGTCTCAATTCGTTCTATGTAAACACCATTACTATTCATAATTATGGGGTAAGCTGTTGAAACACAGATAAGACAAACTCTTTACCAAGAGCAAAACTGGGCCCCTCGCTGCCTGGCCCCACGGGGGTACCCTGGCTAGTGTGCTGTGTTGCTCCTCAGTTATCAAAGTCCCAACAATTTTGACTGACAGCAAATGGTAAAGGTGTTCCATGAGTTTCATTCCATATTCTTTAAAAGTGTTTATATAATTTCCTACAATATTTAAATAACTTGCTAACATGACAAGAAAGTCTGCAGTCATAATGCAGAAAAGGATACTTTCTTACTTTAATCAAGCATGACAGGTGTTTAGATATGCTTGATGCAGTGATTGCCTGTCCCAAATTAGCATTCAGCACTACCTCCTTTGTTTCCTTTCAGCTCCTCTGTTTCAAATAGCCCGCCCCTCTCTGAAACTAGGAGAGGCGCTGGATCCTGGAGTTAGGGACCTGCCAGCCCGGGGTGCAGCTTCGTGGGAATCTCTACTCAGTGACCATAAGCAGTCGTTTTAAGGCTCTGAGAATTTGGAGGTGAGGTACCCGTGTATATTTCATGGTGATGTGAGGGAAATGCCTGCAAACAGCTGACCTCAATTTCCACTTGGAAACCAACAGGGAGTCTTCTACATGTCTTGCATTCCTGATTTCACCTAGTCCCCAAGACCCTGATAAGGGTCTCTTATTTCTATCACTTTGTAAATAAGCAACTGAGATAGAAAACTCACATAAACTGCACAATCTCACTCCAAATGGAAGCTGTTCAAAACTCAGGTGGTCTGAGTCCAGAGCCACGTCTTCTTCTGCAACTGGTGAACCCTGAGAAGGGCCCAGCTCCCATTCTCGTGACACTCATGAACCTGAGTGGTTCGGTGTTGTGGGCAATTGACTCAAACCCAACATGACTGCAGCCCTGGTTCTTATTTCTGAATAGAAATAGGGCCATAGAGCTGCTATTGAAAGTGCTCTAGATTTCTCAGTCTGTATCCCCATCTAGTACAAGTATAATGGAAAAGTCAACTGCAAGACTCCTTGCACATTCCAACCCCTCATCCCACTCATGCAGAAAATGGCGGAGTATCACGGGCTTGGATGGCCTTGTTTGCAGGTAGGAAAACAAGCACGTTGCAGTACAACTTGCTTTCCCAGAATATGTTTCATGATTTTCCTCCTAATTCCACTCAATGTGGGATGTATGAATGAATTCATTTGACAATTTTGTATTGTGCTCCTATTCTTACGAGTGCTGGTATAATAGTAGCAAATGAAAGGATAGCATTGTTCCTTCTTCTAAAGATGCTGAAACAAAGTGACCAGCAGTTGAGGAGGAGGGAAGGAGTGTGGGAAAACAGGGATGTGCACAGGGTGTTTGTTCAGGGCTGCAAGACAAGGGACGAAGGCCTCAGAGGCTCGGGGCATCCACAGTGGCAGCCAGATGAAGGCAGTAGGTTGAAGGGGATTCATCTACAGGCAGAGGGATGGATGTGGGCAAAAACCACAGAAATGGTAATGAGAGTTGCTCATGTTTCAAGAACTGCTCACTCCTTAGAAAATACTAATTGAAATCGAATATGATGACTTTATTTGTGTTTCTCCCTCATTGATTCATAAATCAAGTTTCTGCATGGGAATTTGCATTTCTATAATAAAGCATTCCAGGATTGAACCATTGTAAATGAATAAAAGATTCAAAGAAGATCCAGAGAATTAACTATTTTAAACATAATCTTATTAAGAGTTCAGAAATGTTCAATAAATTTCTGTTTCGTACTATGCTGTCTCCTTCTTTAGCCTCACTGCCATGTTTGAGAAAGGTGTCATTCACAAACATGGTTTTATCCAAAATTTCAGTAATAGGAGGGAAAGAAGAGAGATAATAATATATTTACCTTAAATTCTGATTTTTGAACGTTAAAACAATATGAAATTGGCCTGTGGAAAATGTATATGTTCCTGAAAAACAATGTTTAGAACAGGTTATTGTCATGATATATCACAGACTAGTACCATATGCTAAGGTTCTCAGTGTCAAATAATCCTAGGCAGAAGAAGGTAAAGACAGGTGTAAACTTAAAAGTAAAGTTCCAATAGAAACATATTTACCAGGGACTGGGAGTTGGGGGGGAAATAGAAAAAGACTGGTAATAGGGTAGAAGTTTTCAGGTACAAGACAAAGTCTGAGGGTCAAATGCATAGCATAAAGACTGCAGTTGATAACACTGTATTGAAAATGTTCTCACCAAGGGGAACAGAGGGCCATATATGAAGTAATGTGTGTGTATATGAATAGGACATTTCAAAAAGCATATATACATATACGTGCATCATATATGTTCAATTTATCACTTCGCATATTTCATATACTTTAGGTATCTTACACTTTTATTTTCAATTATACCTTCACAAAGGTGAGAAAAAATAATAACTATTGAATTGGTTGCTATAAAGGGACAAAAATGATCCGCCTCTTAATCAACAAATAAATCTTCGAGGAGAAACTGAAACTGGCCTGAGATTGGTTTGGTTATCAAAGTTGTTTTTCCCTTCTAAATTTTTGTTTGATATTTGATCTATACCAGACTAATACTGTGTAATGCTTTTAAATGATAGCTAAAAATTAATAGTTTGTACAACTACTATTAAATGGACATAAAAGTTGATATACTTACTGAAAACATGCACAGAAGTCTTCAAAATCAAGCCACATTTCATTGGAGATACCTGCATTCGTTGCTAATAGTTCCTCCTGTGACTTTTCCTGTGTTGCTGTGGTCAGGCTGAGCAAGTCTTTCTCCACATTAAACCCCTCAGGTTGGTGAACTGCATCAGTGACGCCACTGTCTGTTAGTTCATCTGTACACAGAAGACAAACATATCAAACATGCCTCTCTGTCATATAGTATGTTACTATTGATAAATAGGAAAATCTAAGAGAGGGGAATTTGCCTGTAAAAGTCTATTTCTGAGAAAGTATTTACTGAGATAATTAGTCACAGGCAAGTATCAGAGTGTAAGAGTCCATGCAGACACATCCCATACTTTGAAGACTTGAAGCATGATATAAACATCACAAAGTGGTCAGGATCCTTGAAATCACATCTATACTCTGAACTCACAGTTTTTAACGGCTGTGAAGTTAGAAAAGAAATTATGTAGATTGTGTGCTTCAAGTTTGTTATGGATAGACGTGCTGACTTCAGAAAGACTGGTTCAGTCAGCAAACTTGTAAGATTTGTTGTGATTCAGGTGTTGTCACAAACCACTGAACAGCTCCCCACATATATCCTATATGCTCATTTTTTCAAGTGAAACAATCCAATGCTTATAGATCTCTTGAACCAAAGTCTCCTATACACACAGGCCACCTGACACTTTTGTGGGGGTTAGGAAGAGTCTGCCACAATTTAGTGTCTTGATCACAAACTGCACATGTAAAACTGGTGAATTTCCTCATGGATGGTCTTTGGTTCTGACCTTAACCTTGAATTTAGCAAGTGATATTATCTGATCTTTCTGTCTCAGAGCAGATCAGCCTCAGTATCAGGGGACACCTTGGAGAGAGGCTGGGAGTTGGAGAAAGGTGAGCTAAACATTTATCAGGAAGAAGCACCTTTGTACTCTGATGCCTGAAATAATGCCATGAGAAGATGAATTTACCTTTTCCAACTGCAATTTGTGAAATGAAATTACCCTGTAATTAAAAGGAATACATTAAGCTACTTATAAATCCAATAAATCATTACAGCTACTGAAGTTTTTAAAGTTAACATGGTCTTTTACATGCATGTAAGTACCAAAGACATACAGTAAAACAGAAATTAGCTTTCACTTTAAAAATTTAAATGAGGTAAATTTAACTTTAAAAATTGAAAATATAAGTTTGTGATGCTACAAATATAGCAAATGAATTTATTCATGATTCAAACTTAATAATAAAGTTAAACTAACACAATAATATACGTAAGTAGATCTATTACTTGCTATGAAGCACTTGTCATCAATACAGACTGCATATAATGAGGTTATTATTGGGAGTTATTTTTTGGATAATTTTGTTCTTTAATCATTACATGTAATAGTTTAAAATTTTAAAAATCTTTAAAAATTTTAAATTTTCTTCCCCTTACAAGATTTCTATTTTGTTAGTTTCCGCTTTTCAATTAATATTAAAACTTCTATTTTCCTGTACGTGCTGCCTTGCCCTTTATATATCACATGCCAGACTGAATTTGATAAGCAATTGCTCACACACATATGGAAATACCATGTAACTTTAAGGACAAAGGCACTCTTTAGGTATAGAAATAGAATTTTCTTCACTGTTGACTGATAATTCTTTTGTTACATTTTAGTAGGAAAAGAGGAGGTGGTAGAACATTTTGTGTGCTTTGTGTTTTCATGGAGTAGCCTGCAGACAGAATGGTGCAACTGGGAGACCTACGTACATGGGGGTAAGTGCATTGCTTGTGTTTTTATTTTTGAACATGTGAATGCATTACCTCTTAAAAATAGAAATAACCATTATAGCCAAAGTTGAAATGTCAGACAATATGTATTGGCCATGGTGTGGACAGCAAAGAAAATTCTGAGCTCATGTTCAGATTGGGATGAATATTGATAGATGGATATTGGGCAATTATTTGGCATTTGTATTCTATGGTTAAACAGGTGACTGCCAGAGCCCACAATTATACTACCCTAATCACAGTCTAGAGCAGGGCTTCCTAGTTAGCATCCACTGGGACCAATGGTTTGGCTTCAGGAATCCATTAACACTGGTGATTTTTAAAAACATTTGGTGGACATTCAGTGTTTCTTCAGTTACACAATTTAGCAATGCACTGGCCATTAGGTTGTTAGTAATAAGTGACTTTAATCACAAAAGAAAGTTAAGATGAGACTCACTTACTACAAGTTTTAACCCAAACGAAAACACCCTGGACTCACTAGAAGGTAGATAACTGCAAGGGAATCGGTGACTGGGGAGCTCCCAGAAGGGAACTCCCGGGAAAACCCGGG